TCCAGTGTTCAGTTTTGTTTGTTAAGGTTATTGAAGGCCATGGGGCAACCCTCGATGTGGTGTTAGTTAATGGCGTGCTTCAGGAAGGAGATCAAATAGTTGTTTGTGGCATGCAGGCAAGCATTAATACCTTGTTACTGCCAAAGACTTAAAGCAATGTAGGTTGTCAAAATCTGAGATATGATTTTTATCTTCAGGGACCTATTGTTACCTCAATTCGAGCATTACTGACACCCCATCCAATGAAGGAACTCTGAGTAAAGGTAAGATTCCCTTTTGGGTTTTATATGTGTGTGTGTGTGTATATGTGAAACTTTCTTTTTTCTTTTTTGAAAAGTTTGACATTATACTTTGACTTCATGTCTCTTTCCAGTTATGATATTAAGAAAGGTATATGAAACTATGGATTTAAAAGGAATGTATGAAGAGGAGTTGTTTTGGGAATTGTGTATAGCTATGCTGATACACTTTCTAGTGATTATAACAATTTGCCTTCCCTTCTTACTTTGTTGTTTTCTACTGCATATATTTTTTTATTGTAGATGTTGTGATGAATGTTAGCGTCCATATCTTGTCAATCATGAAATTATATTTGATTGCCTGTTCCTGTGTATATTGACCAAAATAATTGTCTGATATCTTTTTGATTAACAGAATTAGTTTATTTTTTGGATTTTAGTTTGTGTTTTTTTAGTATGATGTTAGAATAGATTGTTTTTTAGGCTTAGAGATAAGCATTTGGAATTCCAGTTGTAAACTTTGTCAACCGGGGGAAAATTGGAAAGATTATGAACGGCTTTTGCTGGTACTATGGGAAATGTTAAAACGAATTCTGGACGCGATGTTGTCAGAAGGTGCTTGCTGGTAAAGTATAAAGATGTTTTGTAGTAGGATAATCAACCTTTGTGTGTATGTATGTGTCGTTTCAATAAGTGAGATTGGAGATAAATTGATTTATGAGTAACAAAATCAAGCTTAGGGTTCCTATTAAGTTGAAGGGAAAATTTTACACTGTTGCTAGATGTTATGGCGTATAGTGTCGAATGTTCGTTAAAGCATGCTAACTGAGACACTAGATGACCAAAAAAATTTCAAATTTTAAAATACCGTCAAAATAAACTTGTGATGACTTGTCATGAAATAAACTGAACTTGTGATGCCTTGACTGCTGCTGTATATATATATTTTTTTATCTTTACTATTTTTTCTCTTGGAGTTTATGTAAAACTCCACTTCTCCATTGAAATATGGTTGGTCTAAGTGGATTTTTTTGCTTCCCACTTACTTAGTGGAGGGAACTAAGAAAAAGAGAGGCATATTACTGGACTACTGGTTGCTCAGACTTTAAGCATTCCATCAACTTGGAATTGGCTGCTAGATTGAGAAGTGGATTTGTCTAAAAAAAAACATTTCTCTAATAGATTGAGAAGTGGAATGCAACTTCTTTTTTTGACATATAGGCATTTTTAGTTATTTATATAACTTTATGGAAGTTGACTGCTGAACTTTGTAGTAGTATGGTTTCTCTTCTAAGCAACTTTAGGTTCTGGATAAATGAGTGGCAGAATTATTAAGACCTGGCAAATAAGATGTAGAGGGACAACTGTGTTGGGGATTTTGGTGTTTTCTGTTGCAACCATACTAGTGATTTTTCAAAGTTCAAAAGTGGCCCAAATGCCAAGAAGCATGGACACGTATATGTGACAAGACATGGAAATGCCAGCAAAATTTTCAAAAAATGTAGGACACGACATGTAGGGGGTACGTGCAAAATATATAATTTTATATCTTTATTATATGTCATATGTAAAGAGAAATACTTATTATATGTCATATAAATGAATATTTAAGTCAAAGATAATAATTTTTAAAATCTTAGGGAGAAAAATAGGTAATTTAAATTATTTAATTTAAAAAATTTATCATCGGATCTTAAGTTATTTAATTTAAATTTGTAATGTGTTTCTTATGCGTTTGTGTTAGGAAGTGTGGGACAAGTGTCGTGTCGGTGTCGGACATGACGCATTATCTTTTTAGGAGTATCTGTGCTTCTTAGCTCGAATGTAATTTCTTCTCTTGTAAACCTTAAGATCCAGTTTGTAGGTGTGAAAAAAAAGGGGAAAATTTGCCCCAGTGGGTGTTTAAAAAATTATTTTCAAATCAATGATATACATTAAAAAGGAAAGGTAAAGCGATTTAGGGAATGATCTTTCTTTTTGTCACACAATGGAGACCAAACCTTTATCTACCTTCGATGTGCTTTTGGTTTTGTCCTGTAATTTTTGAGGTACTATGTTAAGTTCAATTTTTCCAATTAAGTATTTGACCATTAGTGGTGGCTCCATTTCAGGGTACTTATCTGCATCATAAAGAATCAACGCTGCCCAGGCTATCAAGATTACTGCACAGGTAATTTCAACGTTCAACATAAATTTATTTCATTATGCTTTCGTTTTGTTTCCTTCTCCACTTGCTTCGGCTTCACATATTATTTCTAAAATACAAATAATATTTCTCAATAGATATGATATGAAAGGGATAAGATGATTAAAAACTAAAATTGTAGAGGCTCACACAAATGATGTGAGTGAGTTCCGTAGAGTAATACCTCATCTTTGTATTACCTACTCTTGAGAGATTTCATTTCAATGAACCAGCACATCCGGTAACCAGACTTATAATTCTCACACATGACATGTGCCTCATTGCATGCCTATCCATATAGTGTAAAACACAGATAGACAATCCCAACTAACACTTATTGGCACTCTTATTAGCTGTACTCATGGTGAACATTGTGAATTGTGGTCCTGTTGACAAATATATTCTTCTTCTCCTTATTGTTATTGTATCTATTTTTTTTTTCCTTTTAGGGCCTTGAGCATGCGATTGCAGGCACTGCTCTCTGTGTGGTGGGGCCTGATGATGATTTGGTGGATATCAAGAAGCAGCCTACGAAGATATGAAGTCAGTACTGCGCAGGATTGGTAAAACTGGTGAGGGAGTTTGTGTTCAGGCCTCTACTCTTGGATCATTGGAAGCATTGCGGGAGTTCTTGAAATCACCAGCAGTGAAAATACCTGTTAGTGGTATAAGCATAGGTCCTGTACATAAGAAGGATGCCCCGAAGGCTAGTGTCATGCTTGAGCAGAAAAAAAATATGCCACAATCTTGGCCTTTGATGTTATAGTGATGCTGGAAACTCCGGAACTTGCAGATGAAGCTGGTGTCAAGATATTCAGTGCTGATATCATTTATCACTTGTTTGACCAATTTAAGGCCTACACTGACAATTTCAAGGAGGAAAAGAAGAAGGAAGCCTCTGAAGAGGCAGTGTACCCATGTGTTCTCCAGATTATGCCGAACTGCGTTTTTAACAAGAGGGGCCCCATTGTTTTGGGGGTTGACGTTGTCAAAGGCATTGCTAAGGTAATCATTACCATCATAATCGTTATTATTACTGTGTTTTTTGTTTTATTCCTTGCATGTTTCATGATTCCACTTGCTGGAAATTGCCGAATTCTTGCTTTTTGTTTTGATAAGCTGAAAGTTTATAGCCTTTATAACATTTATCAATCCATTAGTTCAAGTATGCCTGGATTCCATATTTTTTCTTGATTGAACATTTTGGATTTTGATGCTAAGTGATGTATTTCAAATAATCCTAGACATGAAATAAATATCTTGAAGATATTTTGGTGCATGGTTACTCATTATTTGCTACAGGATATTCTTGCATTACTTTATATGTGGACTCCTCTATACCTTGTCAAAGTTTCATTTGTGTGTGCAATTGTTTTGAAGGTATTTGACATTTTTTTTTCCCTGAAAATTAAAGGGCATTGATGGGTTTCCATTAATCATATGTAATGTGATCTATCCACATTGAAATATTGTAGTCAACATAAATTGTGCCAAGGGGGGTGAATTGGCCAATCTAAAAAAAGATTGTTGTCATTTCAAAATTACCAGTCAAACGTTTGTCCAATTTATGGTTAGGGTTGTAAGAACAAATCCGAGTAATTGAGAGAAACTAAAATAGAAAAAAGGGCAGGGGGTTCAACCTTTTTATAGAAAGAAGTGGTGGATTTAGCATTCTGGCCTTGGTTGGCTTTGAATTGAAAATGTTTGGATTTAGTTGAATTGGTACGGAAAATCAAGGTTAATTTAGGACCTTAATGATGCATGGTTGGAATCTTGTTGGATTAAGGATGTGGTACAAGAACCGAGCGAGGAAGCTAATAACCGGAAGTTATGGATTTTTCCATTATGAATTAATATGCTAGGGCTTAATGGCAAAAAAATTAAATATCAAAATCAATTAGGGTTTTGTTGGATTAATTTGCTTTGTTTTGTTGAATCCAAGGCTTAATTTGCAATCCATTGACAATCCGGGGTTTAAATCGCGATATATTCAAAGACTAGGGTTCAAATAGTAATTAAAAAAATTAGGGTTTCTACATTTTTATTGTCAACTTATTGCTTAGGAAAAGTTGTACTGAATTGGCCATATGTGACATTCCTTGTGTAGTGTTCTTGATAAATGAGGAGCTGTAAAATAAATCAGGTGGTCGTCTTCATCTTTCAACTATCTAAAAAAGGTAGATCAACATTGTCCCACATGTACAGTTTTCGCTACATTATTGATTGGGAGGGATACTATCCCATGGTAAGACTGTTGAATAATTACCCTCGAACATATGTCTATTTTCTTTTCTTTGGATATCATTATCCAAATCCAATATCCAAACGACCACAATAAAAACTAACAATATTAAATAAATTAAAAAAAAAAGTAGATCTATTAATGACCATAATAAAAACTAACAACAATACCAAACACATAAAAAAATATTTAGAAAATTATCCGAAAAAGTAAATCTGTGAGTTACATTCATTAAGTGTGTGGTTCACGTTTCATTAACATTAAATTTACACTATATACCTCCCTTTTGTAGTGGGTTCCAAGATAAATATTTATGGCTTATAGCATTTTTGAAAAACTAAACATACAAGAGTTCATTACAGCCCACTTGAACCAACAAGCTTTATCAATCCAAAGGTTATGGCCATAGCCAACCAACCTCCAATTAAAACCCTCACAATAGACCTTGCTACTGGTGCCTTCCCTAACGCAGCCCCCAACCATGCAAACACCACCAAAGCAACGCTCACTACTCCAACCACCACCCCTACTCTCACCTTATAATTCCTTATAAATGATGCCCCTAGCAATGGCACGATTCCCCCCATCGTAAATGCAATAGCCGAAGCTGCAGCCGCCTTCCCTGGACTTGGTCTACCCCCATCTTTTTCTTCTTCTTTGTTCTCTCCGCCATTGCCACCGGTACTGCCACCACTATCGCCATCGCCAACCCTTTTCTCGTCTCTCTTCTCTTGAGCCAGTTCTATTTCGAGTTGAGAGTAAACGGAGACATACTCTCCTATGGCCATGCTAGAAGCGCCGGCCACTAAACCGGCAAAGCCGATTAAGATCATGGTCTTAACGTCTTGTTTGACAGCCCCAACACCCATCATTAAAGCGGAGATGGAGACCAACCCGTCGTTGGCTCCTAGGACCGCAGCGCGGAGCCATTGGGCCCTTGTGGAGTAGTCGAAGTCTTTTTTTTCTGATTCTAGAGTGGTTTGTTGCTCAATATCAGGAATGGGGGTTGGGGTTGAGGTTGAGTTTTGAAGAGATGTTTGGTTGGAAGCCATGAATGGAATGGGAAAGGAAAGGAAGGGAGTGATGAGAGTTGATGAGGAAGAAGGTGATATGCTTTGAAGGTGATGGGGGTTTTTATTATGAAAAACTCTAGGATCCTAGAAAAGTTGTCTAGAATTTATAAGTGAATTTTATTGTGTAGTTTAGATTTAATTCTTTAATGGAGCCCACACATGAAATAAATCTCCACCCTCCAATGTTTATTAGGGAATTTTTCTGGGTAAATAATTCTGGGATCCTAGCAACTCTTTTAAAAAATGAGTAGGGGGGTTTGGCCACCAATGCAAACAAATATGGTAGTGATATAGAAACATAATTTTAAAAAAAAAAAATTTTACAAAATTTCTGTATTGAATGAAGGGGTTTCGAGAGATTCTATTTTCACGCACCAAAAATGTTCAGTTCACACACTTAGTATAGGTATATATACTAATTTTTGGTTCACACACTTAGTATAGGTATATATACTTTTAATTTTGATTTTATCCCTCAATCAAATTAATCTTTTGCACGGTACTCCAAAAACTATCAGCTTTGCTTCATCATATCGAACAAGATTGTTTGTGTTTGTAAACTCTAACAAGTGACTTAAGCCCTAGAAGGTTCTATATGTGTTTTTCAGAGCGTACAAGGGGGGTTGAATTCCAAACCCTTTCTCTCGAGTATACCTATTACGAAAAATGGACATCAGTTTTGAGACACATGCGGATACATACACATATATGGTTCAAAACAATTAGACGCCCATTGGGCTGTGTTTAAATCTATTTGTTTGGGCCTTTAGGTTGTGTTTAAATCTATTTTTTTGGTCCGATAAAAGTTCGTTTTAGATCAATTCGTTTATGTAAACAAACAAAACTATGAGCAAATTTTGAATCTTGTAACAAGTTTTGAGCTCAAATTGAACTCGACTTAAAAAAATTATATACATTACAAAAAATCAAACTACTCGAACTCAGTTCATAATCATCTCGAATAAAGTTTACTTGAGATCGTTTCAAAAAAATAAACAAATTAGCAATCGGCTAGTCAACTCGTTTACAGCCTTGTTAATCACAATCGAGAAATGTGAGCCCCCCGAAAACCCATGACTGACAAAACTGATAAAAAAAAGAAAAAAGGATGGATATTGCTGGAGAGGAAAAGCACAGAAGGCAGTGAGAGAGAAAGGGTGGGGAAATAGATAATGTAAGTGAATTGTGTTTATTCAATCCAAATACAAATGTTGGGTTGGGGATGCTTTTATTCTTGTATTTTTTTTTCTCTCAACTTTCCACTGAAATATATATTAGAAGTTGAGGACTCCCACTGAGCCTGAACCTGTGGGTTAAAAAAAGAAAAAGAAAAAAGAAAAAAGAGAGAGATGGAGTGCCCAATTAGAAGATACGAGAGAGGACAAAGGAACTGAAAGCTGATGCAAAGCTGAATGTCCCAGGTCTATTGGTTATTGATACCCATGGACATGAATCGTTCGCTAATTTAAGGTCTCGGGGTTCAGGTTTATGCGACATCACAATTTTGGAGGTCGACATAATGCATGGCCTGGAACCACAGACCATTGAATCACTCAATCTTCTGAAAAGGAGGAATACAGAATTTATTGTCGCATTGAATAAGGTGGGGGGAGTACACGGCAATGTTGCCCATGGTGTACATGTCGCTTTTGAATATATTCCCATTATGTTTATATTGTTTCTTTGACTTCCAACCTGCAGGTGGACAGACTTTATGGGTGGAAAGTTTGCCGGAGCGCACCACTTGTGAAGGCAATGAAGCGACAATCCAAAGATGTCCAAATAGAATTTAATGCGAAACTGACTCAGGTCTTATATATACACCATCCTTTCTCAAGTATGATTCGATTTATGGTGGACCTCGTTACAATTGTTTTCGTGACCATTGCAGGTTATTACCCAGTTAAAGGAACAAGGGTTAAACTATGGAAACAAAGAAATGGGGGAAACTTACAGTACTGTACCCACATGTGCAATCAGGTATTTCTCATGGACTATTGATCTGTTCTCGTTATGGTTAATTAAATTTTTTCCACAGCAAATGCAACAAAAACATATGTTTCCTAGCCAATGGCCTGATATTTGGGTTTGTGGATGCAACAGTGGTGAAGGCATTCCTAATATGTTGTTATTGCTATGTTCAGTGGACTCAGGAGACAATGATCGAGAAACTTACGTACAGCAATGAAGTACAGGTATAACTATCCGTTCCCACACTACACCTTCCCTGTGCAATATCTCCTTGGTTTGTTGATTGTAGAGATGTTGGGAATGTGTGAGAACTGTGTGTGGTGAAAAATACACAATTTATGTCAAACAGTTAAAAGCATGCTAACTGAGACACCGGATGACCCAAACTATTTCAAATTTTAAAATACCCTTAAAGGAAACTTGTGATGACTTGTCATGAAAAAAGGTGAACTTGTGACGCGTTAACTGCTGTATATATATGTGTGTGTGTGTGTGTGTATTTTTTATCCTTGCTATTTTTTCTCTTGGATTTTGTGTAAAACTGCACTTCTCCATTGAAATAAGGTGGGTCAAGTGGATTTTTTTGCTTCCCACTTGCGTAGTAGAGGGAACTAAGAAAGGAGAGACGTATTGCTGGACTGCTGGTTGCTCAGACTTTAAGCATTCCACCAACTTGGAATTGGCTGCCAGATTGAGAAGTGGATTTTTCTTAAAAAAAACAATTCTGTAATAGATTGAGATGTGGAATGCAACTTCTTTTTTTTGACATGTAGGCATATTTACTTATTTATATAACTTTGTGGGAGTTGACTGCTGAACTTTGGAGTAGTACAGTTTCTCTTCTAAGCAAGTTTCTCTTCTAAGCAAATTTATGTTCGGGATAATTGAGTGGCAGAATTATTAAGAGCTGGCAAACAAGATGAAGAGGGACAACTGTTTTGGTGATTTTGTTGTTTTCTGTTGCAACCGTACTGGTGATTTTTCAAAGTTCAAAAGTGGCCCAAATGCCAAGAAGCACGGACACGTATACGCGACACGACATGACACGGAAATGCCGGCATGCAAATTTTGAAAAAATGTAGGACACGGGCACGTGCAAAATAAATAATTTTATATTTTTATTATATGTCATATGTAGAGAGAAATACTTATTACATGTCATATGTATGAATATTTAAGTGAGATTATAATTTTTAAAATCTAAACGAGAAAAATAGGCAAAAGTTACATTTTTTTAAAAAAATTTTATCATTGGATCTTAAATTATTTAGAGGGTTTTTGGGATGACGTGCAAAAATGTATAATTTTTCACCTTTCACGAAAAGATATGCAAAAAAGCAGAAGTGATGTGACCCAAAAAGGATAAAAAAAAAAAAAAAAGGTGCACTTTTGTAGGGGATGCCAAATACTGCCTTAATTTAAATTTGTAATGTGTTTCTTGTGCGTTTGTGTTAGGAAGTGTGGGACAAGTGTTGTGTCCGTGTCGGACATGACGCGTTACCTTTTTAGAAGTGTCCGTGGTTCTTAGCCCGAACATTATTTCTTTTCTTGTAAACCTTAAGTTCCAGTTTGTAGGTATGAAGAAAAAGGGGAAAATTTGCCCCAGCGGGTGTTTAAAAAATTATTTTCAAAATTAATGATAAATTTTATATACATTAAAAAGTAAATTCATATACTTCTCCGTGACTTTGTGATTAAATTTTGAAAAATTCTTTGAACAGTAATTTCCCTCCCAAAAATTAAGAACTTGAAAGGCAAAGCGATTTAGTGAATGATCTTTCTTTTCATCACACAACGGAGACCAAACCTTTCTCTACCTTAGATGCGCTTTTGGTTTTGTCCGGTAATTTTTGAGGTACTATGTTAAGTTCAATTTATCCAATTAAGTATTTGACCATTAGTGGTGGTCCCATTTCAGGGTACTTATCTGCATCATAAAGAATCAAGGTTGCCCAGGCTAGCAAGATTACTGCACAGGTAATGTCAATATTCAACATAAATTTATTTCATTATGCTTTTGTTTTGTCTCCTTCTCCACCTGCTTTGGCTTCGCATATTATTTCTAAAATACAAATGATGTTTCTCAATAGATATGATATGAAAGGGATAAGACGATCAAAAACTCAAATTGTAGAGGCTCACACAAATGATGGGAGTGAGTTCCGTAGAGTAATACCTCATCTTTGTATTACCTACTCGCGAGAGATTTCATTTCAATGAACCAGCTCATCCTGTAACCAGACTTATAATTCTGACACGTGTCCATGTGCCTCATTGCATCTGTAAAACACAGATAGACAATCCCAACTAACACTCATTGGCACTCTTATTAGCCGTATTCGTGGTGAACATTGTGAATTGTGGTCCTGTTGACAAAATATATTCTTCTTCTCCTTATTGTTATTGTATCTATTTTTTTCCTTCTAGGGCCTTGAGCATGCGATTGCAGGCACTGCTCTATATGTGGTGGGGCCTGATGATGATTTGGAGGATATCAAGGAAGCGGCCTTGGAAGATATGAAGTCAGCACTGAGCAGGATTGGTAAAACTGGTGAGGGAGCTTGTGTTCAGGCCTCTACTCTTGGATCATTGGAAGCATTGCGGGAGTTCTTGAAATCACCAGCAGGGAAAATACCTGTTAGTGGTATAAGCGTGGGTCCTGTACATAAGAAGGATGCCATGAAGGCTAGTGTCATGCTTGAGCAGAAACAAAATATGCCACAATCTTGGCCTTTGATGTTATAGTGATGCCGGAAACTCCGGAACTTGCGGATGAAGCTGGTGTCAAGATATTCAGTGCTGATATCATTTATCACTTGTTTGACCAATTTAAGGCCTACACTGACAATTTCAAGGAGGAAAAGAAGAAGGAAGCTTCTGAAGAGGCAGTGTACCCATGTGTTCTCCAGATTATGCCGAACTGCGTTTTTAACAAGAGGGGCCCCATTGTTTTGGGGGTTGACGTTGTCGAAGGCATTGCTAAGGTAATCATTACCATCATAATCGTCATTATTACTGTGTTTTTTGTTTTATTCCTTGCATGTTTCATGATTCCACTTGCTGGAAATTGCCGAATTCTTGCTTTTGTTTTGATAGGCTGAAACTTTATAGGCTTTATAACAGTGATTTTTCCATGAGTTCAAGTATGCCTGGATTCCATCTTTTTCCTTGATCAAACATTTTGGATTTTGGTGCTAAGTCATGTATTTTGAATAATCATAGACATAAAATAAATATGTTGAAGACATTTTGGTGTGTGGTTACTCATTGTTTGCTACAGGATATTCTTGCATTACTTTACATGTGGACTCCTCTATACCTTGTCAAAGTTTCATTTGTGTATGCAATTGTTTTGAAGGTGTTCCACCTTTTTTTTTTTTTTCCTTCTTCTCAAAATTGAAGGGTATTGATGGGTTTCCATTAATCATATGTAATGTGATCTATCCACATTGAAATATTGTAGTCAACAAAAATTGTGCCATGGTGGGTGAATTGGCCAATCTAAAAAAAGATTGTTGTCATTTCAAAATTACCAGTCAAACCTTTGTCCAATTTATGGTTAGGGTTGTAAGAACAAATCCCTGTAATTGAGAGAAACTAAAATAGAAAAAGGGCAGGGGGTTCAACCTTTTTATAGAAAAAAAGTGGTGGATTTAGCATTCTGGCCTTGGTTGGCTTTGAATTGAAAATGTTTGGGTTTAGTTGAATTCGTATGGAAGGCAGGATGATTAGAAGATTTAATCAAGGTTAATTTAGGACCTTAATGATGCATGGTTGGAACCTTGTTGGATTAAGGAAGTGGTACAAGACAAGCATCCCCAAATTATTTTTATATTCTTTCCATCTTTTCTCGATTTTCTTTTTAATTTTTCTTAGGCCCCAAGGTAGCTCATGGCAAACCTATGCCTCCCTCCAAGGTATAAAAATAAATTTTTTGTGTATAATTAATTTAGTAGAAAAGAATTAAATAAGATAAAAAAAATGCAGAAAACAAGCTAATATATATATATATATATAATTAAGCATAAGGTTGAAATTGGGTTAAATTCAAAAGGGTCAATCTCTAAATTATGAAATAGTAAACATTTATTATTTACATATAATTAAAATAATATAGATTAAAAAAAATTAATTCGAGTCTCGTTGAACCAAATGGCAAAGTGTAGTGCAAAACCGAGCAGGAAAGCTAATGTTATAAGTTTTTCCATTATGAATTAATATGCTAGGGCTTAATTGCAATAAAATAAAATATCAGATTCGATTCGGGTTCTGTTGGATTAATTCACTAAGTTTTCTCGAATCCAAGGCTTAATTTGCAATCAATCGACAATTCAGGGTTTAAATCGCGATATATTCAAAAACTAGGGTTCAAATAGTAATTACAAAAATTAGGGTTTCTATATTTTTATTATCAAGTTATTGCCTAGGAAAAGTTGTATTGAATTGGCCATATGTGACATTCCTTATGTAGTGTTCTTGATAAATGAGGAACTGTGAAATAAATTAGGTGGTCGTCTTCATCTTTCAACTATCTGAGGTCACGTTTGTTTTCAGAGGTAGAGTGGAGGGAATTAATAGTGAGGGGTTTGTTAGTGAGGAGATTTATAGCGAGGGGATTAGTAAAATTGTGTTTGTTTGTTAGTATGGGATTGTTAAATTATTTTTATATAAAATAATAAAAAAAATTTAACAATGATTTTTACTTAACAAAAAATACAAAAACATTAGACATTAACGTTTAAAAAAAAGGCCAACAAGTTAAAAAAAAAAAAAAGTAGAGAAGACTGGTTGACCGGCCAGACGACCGATAACACCCAATCTGAAAGGACTAATTTCTAATACCACCCCCCAGCCCAGACTGCTAATCCGTTGCCCAAGGCCTATCCTAAGCCAAAGGGACTACGAATCCGGAGTTCAAAAACCAAAACAAACATAAGCTAATTTTATTGTTCATGACTAACAGTCTGGGGTGGACTGCTGGCGCGGAAAACAAACGGGGCCTAAGAAAGGTAGATCAACATTGTCCTACATGTACAGTTTTTGCTACATTGATTGGGAGGGATAATATCCCATGGGATAAGCTGAAAGTTTATAGCCTTTATAACATTTATCAATCCATTAGTTCAAGTATGCCTGGATTCCATATTTTTTCTTGATTGAACATTTTGGATTTTGATGCTAAGTGATGTATTTCGAATAATCCTAGACATGAAATAAATATCTTGAAGATATTTTGGTGCATGGTTACTCATTATTTGCTACAGGATATTCTTGCATCACTTTATATGTGGACTCCTCTATACCTTGTCAAAGTTTCATTTGTGTGTGCAATTGTTTTGAAGGTATTTGACATTTTTTTTTCCCTGAAAATTAAAGGGCATTGATGGGTTTCCATTAATCATATGTAATGTGATCTATCCACATTGAAATATTGTAGTCAACATAAATTGTGCCAAGGGGGGTGAATTGGCCAATCTAAAAAAAGATTGTTGTCATTTCAAAATTACCAGTCAAACGTTTGTCCAATTTATGGTTAGGGTTGTAAGAACAAATCCGAGTAATTGAGAGAAACTAAAATAGAAAAAAGGGCAGGGGGTTCAACCTTTTTATAGAAAGAAGTGGTGGATTTAGCATTCTGGCCTTGGTTGGCTTTGAATTGAAAATGTTTGGATTTAGTTGAATTGGTACGGAAAATCAAGGTTAATTTAGGACCTTAATGATGCATGGTTGGAATCTTGTTGGATTAAGGATGTGGTACAAGACAAGCATCATCCCCAAAATGGGGGAAAATGAAAACTTTCGGACCATTTTTATATTCTTTCCATCTTTTCTCCATTTTTATTTTTCTTAGGCCCCGAGGTAGCACATGGCAAACCATTACCTCCCTCCAAGCTATAAAAATAAATTTTATATGTATAATTAATTTAGTAGAAAAGAATTAAATATGACAAAAAAAGAAGAAGAAGAAAACAAGCTAAAATATATATATATATATATATATTGGCCTCGTTTGGGAAGTGGCTATTTTAGTAGGCTATTTTAGTTTTTGGTTATTTTAGTAGGTTAAAATTTTTGTGTTTGGGAAGATGATTGGATTTTTTTGTGGTTGGATGTGATGTTTGTGAGAGAAAAAGTGAAATGATTATGGGTTTGATGTGATATTTTGTCTTATTAGCTATTTTAGCCTATTTTGTCTTTTTGTGAATTTTAGCCTAAATTGGGCTATTTTTTTTCTTCCCAAACACCCCCATTATATTAAAGCATAAGGTTGAAGTTGGGATAATTCAAAAGTAAGGGTCAATATCTAAATTATGAAATAGTAAACATTTAGTATTTATATATAATTAAAATAATATAGATTAAAAAAAATTAATTTGAGTCTTGGTGGACCAAATTGCGATGTATAGCGAAAAACCGAGCGAGGAAGCTAATAACCGGAAGTTATAGATTTTTCCATTATGAATTAATATGCTAGGGCTTAATTGCAAAAAAATTAAATATCAAAATCAATTAGGGTTTTTTTGGATTAATTTGCTTCGTTTTGTTGAATCCAGGGCTTAATTTGCAATCAATTGACAATCCGGGGTTTAAATCGTGATATATTCAAAGACTAGGGTTCAAATAGTAATTAAAAAAATTAGGGATTCTACATTTTTATTGTCAACTTATTGCTTAGGAAAAGTTGTACTGAATTGGCCATATGTGACATTCCTTATGTAGTGTTCTTAATAAATGAGGAACTGTGAAATAAATTAGGTGGTCGTCTTCATCTTTCAACTATCTGAGGTCATGTTTGTTTTCAGAGGTAGAGTGGAGGGAATTAATAGTGAGGGGATTTATAGCGAGGGGATTAGTAAAATTGTGTTTGTTTGTTAGTGTGGGATTGTTAAATTATTTTTATATAAAATAATAAAAAAAATTTAACAATGATTTTTACTTAACAAAAAATACAAAAACATTAGACATTAACGTTTAAAAAAAAGGCCAACAAGTTTTAAAAAAAAAGAAAAAGTAGAGATGACTGGTTGACCGGCCGGACGACCGATTACACCCAATCTGAAAGGACTAATTTCTAATACCACCCCCCAGCCCAGATTGCTAATCCGTTGCCCAAGGCCTATCCTAAGCCGAGGGGATTACGAATCCGGAGTTCAAAAACCAAAACAAACATAAGCTAATTTTATTGTTCATGACTAACAGTCTGGGGTGGACTGCTAGCGCGGAAAACAAACGGGGCCTAAGAAAGGGAGATCAACATTGTCCTACATGTACAGTTTTCGCTACATTGATTGGGAGGGATAATATCCCATGGCAAGACTGTTGAATAATTACCCTCGAGCATGTCTCTTTTCTTTTCTTTGGATATCATTATCCAAATCCAATATCCAAACGACCACAATAAAAACTAACAATATTAAATAAATAAATAAATAAAAAGTAGATCTATTAACGACCATAATAAAAACTAACAACAATACCAAACACATAAAAAAATATTTAGAAAATTATCCGAAAAAGTAAATCTGTGAGTTACATTCATTAAGTGTGTGGTTCCCGTTTCATTAACATTAAATTTACACTATATACCTCCCTTTTGTAGTAGGTTCCAAGATAAATATTTATGGCTTATAGCATTTTTTGAAAAACTAAACATACAAGAGTTCATTACAGCCCACCTGAACCAACAAGCTTTATCAATCCAAAGGTTATGGCCATAGCCAACCAACCTCCAATTAAAACCCTCATAATAGACCTTGCTAGTGGTGCCTTCCCTAACGCAGCCCCCAACCATGCAAACACCACCAAAGCAACGCTCACTACTCCAACCACCACCCCTACTCTCACCTTATAATTCCTTATAAATGATGCCCCTAGCAATGGCACTATTCCCCCCGTCGTAAATGCAATAGCCGAAGCTGCAGCCGCCTTCCCTGGACTTGGTCTACCCTCATCTTTTTCTTCTTCTTTGTTCTCTCCGCCATTGCCACCGGTACTGCCCCCACTATCGCCATCGCCAACCGTTTTCTTGTCTCTCCTCTCTTGAGCTAGTTCTATTTCGAGTTGAGAGTAAACGGAGACATACTCTCCTATGGCCATGCTACAAGCGCCGGCCACTACACCGGCAAAGCCGATTAAGATCATGGCCTTAACGTCTTGTTTGACAGCCCCAACACCCATCATTAAAGCGGAGATGGAGACCAACCCGTCGTTGGCTCCTAGGACCGCAGCGCGGAGCCATTGGGCCCTTGTGGAGTAGTCGAAGTCTTTTTTTTCTGATTCTAGAGTGGTTTGTTGCTCAATATCAGGAATGGGGGTTGGGGTTGAGGTTGAGTTTTGAAGAGATGTTTGGTTGGAAGCCATGAATGGAATGGGAAAGGAAAGGAAGGGAGTGATGAGAGTTGATGAGGAAGAAGGTGATATGCTTTGAAGGTGATGGGGGTTTTTATTATGAAAAACTCTAGGATCCTAGAAAAGTTGTCTAGAATTTATAAGTGAATTTTATTGTGTAGTTTAGATTTAATTCTTTAATGGAGCCCACACATGAAATAAATCTCCACCCTCCAATGTTTATTAGGGAATTTTTCTGGGTAAATAATTCTGGGATCCTAGCAACTCTTTTAAAAAATGAGTAGGGGGGTTTGGCCACCAATGCAAACAAATATGGTAGTGATATAGAAACATAATTTTAAAAAAAAAAAATTTTACAAAATTTCTGTATTGAATGAAGGGGTTTCGAGAGATTCTATTTTCACGCACCAAAAATGTTCAGTTCACACACTTAGTATAGGTATATATACTTTTAATTTTGATTTTATCCCTCAATCAAATTAATCTTTTGCACGGTACTCCAAAAACTATCAGCTTTGCTTCATCATATCGAACAAGATTGTTTGTGTTTGTAAACTCTAACAAGTGACTTAAGCCCTAGAAGGTTCTATATGTGTTTTTCAGAGCGTACAAGGGGGGTTGAATTCCAAACCCTTTCTCTCGAGTATACCTATTACGAAAAATGGACATCAGTTTTGAGACACATGCGGATACATACACATATATGGTTCAAAACAATTAGACGCCCATTGGGCTGTGTTTAAATCTATTTGTTTGGGCCTTTAGGTTGTGTTTAAATCTATTTTTTTGGTCCGATAAAAGTTCGTTTTAGATCAATTCGTTTATGTAAACAAACAAAACTATGAGCAAATTTTGAATCTTGTAACAAGTTTTGAGCTCAAATTGAACTCGACTTAAAAAAATTATATACATTACAAAAAATCAAACTACTCGAACTCAGTTCATAATCATCTCGAATAAAGTTTACTTGAGATCGTTTCAAAAAAATAAACAAATTAGCAATCGGCTAGTCAACTCGTTTACAGCCTTGTTAATCACAATCGAGAAATGTGAGCCCCCCGAAAACCCATGACTGACAAAACTGATAAAAAAAAGAAAAAAGGATGGATATTGCTGGAGAGGAAAAGCACAGAAGGCAGTGAGAGAGAAAGGGTGGGGAAATAGATAATGTAAGTGAATTGTGTTTATTCAATCCAAATACAAATGTTGGGTTGGGGATGCTTTTATTCTTGTATTTTTTTTTCTCTCAACTTTCCACTGAAATATATATTAGAAGTTGAGGACTCCCACTGAGCCTGAACCTGTGGGTTAAAAAAAGAAAAAGAAAAAAGAAAAAAGAGAGAGATGGAGTGCCCAATTAGAAGATACGAGAGAGGACAAAGGAACTGAAAGCTGATGCAAAGCTGAATGTCCCAGGTCTATTGGTTATTGATACCCATGGACATGAATCGTTCGCTAATTTAAGGTCTCGGGGTTCAGGTTTATGCGACATCACAATTTTGGAGGTTGACATAATGCATGGCCTGGAACCACAGACCATTGAATCACTCAATCTTCTGAAAAGGAGGAATACAGAATTTATTGTCGCATGGAATAAGGTGGGGGGAGTACACGGCAATGTTGCCCATGGTGTACATGTCGCTTTTGAATATATTCCCATTATGTTTATTTTGTTTCTTTGACTTCCAACCTGCAGGTGGACAGAATTTATGGGTGGAAAGTTTGCCGGAGCGCACCACTTGTGAAGGCAATGAAGCAACAATCCAAAGATGTCCAAATAGAATTTAATGCGAAGCTGACTCAGGTCTTATAAATACACCATCCTTTCTCAAGTATGATTCGATTTATGGTGGTCCTCGTTACAATTGTTTTCGTGACCATTGCAGGTTATTACCCAGTTAAAGGAACAAGGGTTAAACACTAAATTGTACTATAGAAACAAAGAAATGGGGGAAACTTACAGTACTGTGCCCACATGTGCAATCAGGTATTTCTCATGGACTATTGATCTGTTCTCGTTATGGTTAATTAAATTTTTTCCACAGCAAATGCAACAAAAACATATGTTTCCTTGCCAATGTCCTGTTATTTGGGTTTGTGGATGCAACAGTGGTGAAGGCATTCCTAATATGTTGTTATTGCTAGTTCAATGGACTCAGAAGACAGGGGTGTTTGGGAAGAAAAAAATAGTAATGAAGTGCAGGTATAACTATCCGTTCCCACACTACACCTTCCCTGTGCAATATCTCCTTGGTTTGTTGATTGTAGAGATGTTGGGAATGTGTGATAATTGTGTGTGGTGAAAAATACACAATTTATGTGAAACAGTTAAAAGCATGCTAACTGAGGCACCAGATGACCCAAAATATTTCAAATTTTAAAATGCCCTCAAAGTAAACTTGTGATGAATTGTCATGAAAAAAGGTGAACTTGTGACGCGTTAATTGTTGTATATATATATTTTTTTATCCTTACTATTTTTTCTCTTGGATTTTGTGTAAAACTGCACTTCTCCATTGAAATAAGATGGGTGAAGTGGATTTTTTTGCTTCCCAGTTACATAGTAGAAAGGTAGATCTACATTGTCCTACATGTACAGTTTTCACTACATTATTGATTTGGAGGGATAATATCCAATGGTAAGATTATTGAATACCCTCGAACATATATCTCTTTTCTTTTCTTTGGATGTCATTATCCAAATCCAATATCCAAACGACCCCAATAAAAACTAACAATATTAAATAAATAAAAAGAAATAATCAAAAAAAGTTCAAAAAAGTAAATCTATTAATGACCGTAATAAAAACTTACAACAATACCGAACACGTAAAAAAAATATTTCGAAAATTATTCAGAAAAGTATATCTATGAGTTTCATTCATTAAGTGTGTGGTTCACGTTTCATTAAAATTAAATTTACACTATATACGTCACTTTTGTAGTAGGTTTCAAGATAAATATTTATGGCTAATAGAATTTTTGAAAAACTAAACATATAACAGTTCATTACAACCTAGTTGAACCAGCATGCTTTGTGAATCCAAAGGTTATGGCCATAGCCAACCAACCTCTAACCATGCAAACACTACCAAAGAGATGCTCACTACTCCGACCACCACCCCTACTATCACCTTATAATTCCTTATAAATGGTGCTCCTAGCAATGGCACCATTGCCCCCACTGTAAATGCAATAGCCGAAGCTGTAGCCGCCTTCAATGGACTTGGTCTTCCCTCTTTTTCTTCTTCTTTGTTTTGTCCGCCACCGTCACCCCTTTTCTTGTCTCTCTTTGGTTGAGCCACTTCTATGTCAAGTTGAGAGTAAACAGAGACAAACTCTCCTATGGCCATGCTACAAGCACTGGCCACTAAACCGGCTAAGCCAATTAAGATCATGGCCTTAACGTCTTGTTTGATAGCTCCAGCGCCCATCATTAAAGAGGCGATGGAGACCAACCCGTCGTTGTCTCCTAGGATCATAGCGCGGAGCCGTTGGGATCGTTTTGAGTAGTAGAAGTCATTTTTTTTCTTGTTCTAGGGTTGTTTGTTGCTCAATATCATGAATGGGGGTTAGTGTCACTTTGGCATTGAGAGTTAGTGTTGCTACCTAAGGAGAATGGGGGTTTGGCATTGGGAGTTAGTGTCGCTACCTAAGGAGAAAGGGGTTTGGCTATCGGTAATATTTTGGCTAGGAACATGGCCCTTCTTGGCAAGTGGTTATGGAGATTTCCACTTGAGATTGATTCGCTATGGCATTCGGTTATAAGAAGCAAATATGGGACTCATGACAATGGTAGGGATTCACAGGTGGTTTTGTGGGGTGATTGTCGTGCTCCTTGAAAGTCAATTTCTCAAATTTTCACATGTTGGTCCCCTTATCTTTCTATGAGGGTGGGCAATGGGGAACTTGTTTTATTTTGGGAGGATGTTTGTATCGGTCAATCTTCTTTTGCTGCCGATTTCCCACATCTATATAGAGTGGCTCAATCTCATAATTCTTCAATTGTTTCCATGGCTTGTTCACTTTTGTCTCCAATTTCTTGGAATTTTGATTTTTCTAAGAATCTTAATGATAGAGAGGCTTCACAGTTGGCTTCTTTATTGTCCAGAATTGATCATTGTTCTTTATCTCCTCTTTTGGAGGACAAGAAGGTTTGGGCTCTTCATTCATCCGGGATATTTTCTTGTAAGTCTTTTTTGATTACATCATTGATGATCCTCATGTTCCTCAGTTTCCTTTTTGCAAAAAAGTTTGGAAGGCTTGTGCTCCCCTAAAGGTAAAGGTGTTCATGTGTGGCATGGTTCAGTGAGGCATTTTGACAAATGATACATTGCAGAAACGAAGATCTAATCGTTTTCTAAATCCTTAGTGGTGCATTCTGTGTTGTAAGAATGGGGAATCCGTGGATCATTTATTCTTGCATTGTCCAATCGTTTTGAATTTATGGCATAGATTGTTTTCTTTCGGAAATGTTATGTGGATAGCCCCAAAATATGCTCCTAGTTGATTTTTGCACATTCGGAGGATCGAAGAGAGCCAAAATGCTATGGTATTGTGCTATGGGTGGAGAGAAATGTGAGGTTGTTCGAATATAAGTTCCGGGAGGTGGGCTGTTTATGGGATAATGTTTGTCACTTAACTTCTTTTTGGGTGTCGGGGAGCTCTTTATTTAAGGGAGTCTCACTTTTTTTGTTAGCTAGAGATTGGTTGACGGTGTGTGATATGTAGGCTTTTGCTCGTGATTGGCTTGTCAGGGGTTTCATTTTTTGTATACTCATTGTCCTTTTGTAAGAGGATGCTTCATCCTCGCTTTCTTTTTTTGATTTATCAATAAAGTTTTTTGTTGTTGATCAAAAAAAAATATCATGAATGGGGGTTGAGGTTGAGTTATGAAGAGATGTTTGGTTGGAAGCCATGAATGGACTGGGAAAGGGAAGAAAGGGAGTGATGAGAGTTGATGAGGAGGAAGGTGATATGCTTTGAAGGTGAAGGGGGGGTTTTATAATGAAAAACTTTAGGATCCCAGAAAAATTGTCTAGAATTTATCCATGAATTTTATTGAGTAGTTTAGATTTAATTCTGTAATGGAGCCTACACATGAAATAAATCTCCACCCTCCAATGTTTATTAGGGAATTTGTTTGGGTAAATAATTCTGGATCCTAGCAACTCTTTTTCATAATGAGTAGGGGGGTTTGGCCACCAATGTAAACAAATATGATAATGATATATAAACATAATTTTTTTTTTTTAATACAAAATTTCTGCTGGAAATTTGTGTTAATGCATAGAATATGATAGTGGTGTTGGTGGTAGATAGTGATATGTATAGAATATGATAGTGGTGTTGGTGGTAGATAGTGATATGTATAGAATATGATAGTGGTGTTGGTGGTAGATAGTGATATGTATAGAATATGAATTCCTTCTTCCTCATATTTTCGGATTTCTTCTTCCTCATATTTTCTAAGTATTTCTATATTGAATGAAGTGGTTTTGAGAGATTCTATTTTCACACACCAAAAATGTTCAGTTCACACACTTAGTATAGGTATATATACTATTCTTTAGTTCAAACACTTAGTATAGGTATA